GGCGGATGGGGTCGACGACCGGGCACCTGATTGCCGATCTGCCATCGTCTGTCATCCAGGAACTGCCCGAGCTAAGAAACAGGCATTGGTAGTGACCGCTGTCTGGATCTTATCCGAAGTGACACAGGATGGCCACCACTCGGTATTGTGTCGAGCTGACATCCCGGCCGGTGCTATTGTTGAAGATCGGAATGTGGACCTCAGAACGGGAGAAGTCCACGGGTGTGTCTTGCTTCAAAGCAAGTGCAGGAAATCGTTCGAATTGCAACACTATGCATGATTGGGCATGAATACAGGCATTCGTGTATGGACCCTGGCCATGCCACATGTTGATCAAAACTTGGAGGTCGCCTCTCTTTTCAACCGGCATGCGAAGCAGCAAAGGTGCAAGTAAAATACCACGATCCTCAATGCTATTGGCTAATCGAGACTGCCAGCCATGATATTCCTGTCCCCAGGAATGGCCACTGAGTTGTTGACCCCTGAGCCAGCCCAAAAATTCCGTTGCACCCTGTTATTCATTGGGTGCATATTCTTTAAACCAGGGTTGCAACAACTTCTGAAAAGGAACTGAAGCACATAGATCCACACCACCGGAGGTGTTGAGCAATTCAAGTAGAGGAAATCTCCATTGATCCCATAGCTCTGGATCAAACCCCTCATAGGCCAAAGTGGCCCAGTGTTGCCCCAACAATGCTGCATTGATATAGCAGGCATTGGATGAATTGTGTAGCTTGATTCGAAGCAACTGATGCATCAGCGTCGCACACGGTGGGCGATTACTGTAGCAAGTGGGGATCTTTGCAGGCCGGTTGGCCTCAATCGAAAAAGGATCAATTGGCAGATCCCGTTTCCGCTCAGGAGGTTGAGGATCTCGTAAAGCTGCGTCGATGCGGCGCTGCGGATGCTGACATCGAGGCGCCACGGGATCGTCACCTGGGAATCTTCGGGAACCTGATCTCTGTTCATGGGCTTGAGGTCAGAGAAGCGTTGGATCAGATCTCCCTGACTGGCCAATTGGGAGAGCTGAATGGTGATCTCCTGAATCCTTTCGTGCTGCAATCGCTGTTGTTCCGTAGCAATATATCCTTCTGCCTGAGTGCCTGCACCAGGGAATCGTCCTGGTTGTCGTATTGCAGCTTCGTCAGCCGTTGGATCATCACCTCGACCACTTTGAAGCAATTGACCTGTCGGAGGGAACATGTGACTCCAATATTTTGTCTCTGATGATGTCATTCCTTGGCTGCCAGGATCATTTCCGGGAGGATCCAGCCTTTGCCGCCCTGCAAAAACAGAAGGAAATTGCGGTCCAAGGCCATTTAATTGAGAATATCTTCTTGGCACAAGGTCAATTTGGCCAGCATCATCAAGAGCTTTGAATCCCCTTCGTGCCTCGAAGAGGTGGATGAGGAGTCGGATCGGATTTTCGATCTGCCTTTCCCAGCTGCTTTTCCCTGCGATGATTCCACCTCTGTTCGTGGGCGTTTGAGATAAGCCTAACAGGTGTCCAAGAGGTCGGTAAATAATATGTCGTCAATCGATATATTGTCTGCGATGGTCGAATCCGGTCGGTGTCAAGATAAAATCTCTAGCCAAGGCGTGCTCGAATTCAAAGATTGCTATGCAAAACCAACTGATTTAATCTAGTGGGTTTGGGTCCAAAGCAATCGTTCTACGATCCCACCATGAATCAAAATTATCTGCAAATCAAATCCAATACAATAAAATTCGCTACACAATCCAACGAACGATATAAAACGATATGTCCAAATACAACGTAACCTAATATAAATCATGCAAATAAATGATTCCCCTCATAATAAATATATACCAAAACAAGCGGGTTTCCGATCGAAATTAAAAAATAAAAAACATATATAATAAAATATCTTTAAAAAATAACGAAAAAAGAAAATAGATATTTTAATTTTAAGAAAATAATCGATATAAAAATATTTTTTATTTTAAAATACCATAATATATTTTAAAAATATCTTCATATATAATCTAATCTTTATAATTTTCTTAAAATTCAATTAATACATAAAATTCAAAAAATATAAATATATTTATTCAATCATTATTTTCCATATCCATTATAAAATTCATCAAAACCATTTCTAAATCATATTATTTTTATATTGTATATTAATTTTCGAAATCCTATTCCTAAATTATTTCCATTAAATAATTTAATATATTTCTAAATATCCATTAAATATTTTAGATTAATATATAATATATTTGTTCATATATTAATATCAATATTAATTTCTTATATTATATCCTTTCCAAATCATTAATTTCTATTTTTAATTTTATCTATATCCATATAATTATTAAATCTATTCCCATATACAATCAAATATTTATACATAATTTTTTTATAATATATTTTGCGTCTATACATAACAAAAAATCGATGAAATTCCAATCCAATATTCGGAAAATATCTAAAATTCAATATGTATATAATAAATAAACCAAAATATTCAATATTAATTAATTCAATTTGATTTGGTATTTGACCAAGATCAAACGATCAAGATTAATCTTTCATCATGAATCGGCATCCTCCAGGTCGACGACCACCTGCCAATGACTGATACCTTGGATAGATCCGCAATCATATTGGTCAATTCCAATTATGATTGTGTTGCAACCGAATCGGTTGGACTTCGATGATTGTGATGGTTTTGTAAATTGAAATCCGTCAGCAGGAGAGACACTGGATCTATTGTAGAATGGTGTATTGTATGATGCATCCAACAGCAAAATGGTTGATGAACAAGTCAAACAACTGCCAAAACTCAAACGCATGCAGATAATTGTGATGTCTATCTAACTCTCCTCTCCAATCCATATTTTGGAATTGACACACTCCTGTACTCCTCTTGTTCACAAAACTTTCAACAACAAGCTGCTCTTCCTATGACATCCCCACAGCCTCTCATGATATGTTGGCTGCATCTCGAGAGTCCAGTCTCATTGTGGTGAGTTTTTCTCCTTGTCCAGTCAATGTCTTCCTTGTCCGATTGGAGATCGGAGCCTTGGGCGGCGGGGTTGGCATCTTTTTCGCCAGCACCGGTGCAGCGCCTCAGGACGCACATGCGATGAGGCGAGACTCCATTGGAGACTCCATTGAAGCCCATGAGACCCCATTGGAGCCTTGGCTGCCACAGGAATACAATGCATTGATCTCTTGGTGTCAAATCCGGTTCTATTCTATCATTCTATCCCGTGATCGCAAATGGTCGAGGAGCTTCATCAATCACACATATTATTCACAAAACAACCAGGAACTAACGTCATCTTCCCAAAGAAAGTGTCGCCGCAATGTTTTGGGATGTTTTGGGCCAACGGGTGGAACACAACAACATACTACTAGGAACAAGAAGCTACTAGGGGCTCCTGGCATCGCTACTAGGAGCAAGGACACTACTAGGGGCTCCTGGCCGCACTACTAGGAACAAGAAGCTATTAGGAACAAAAAGCTCATTGAATTAGAATTGAATTAATTTGAATTAGAATACCAACGGCCCTTTTCAAAGCTTCAGATTCTCACTCCATCAGCCTGAGTGACCTGGGGCCCCACACTTCCACCATCTCCTCGACTCATCTTGGCTCGTTGCTCAGCCATGGTCTGGCAGCTATCCCGGGGTGCCAAATGGATAGGACAAATCATATGCAGCTGCCCCAGTCAAAGCGACCAAGCACCAGGACCGAGTTGCACACCCACAGAAGTGCTACACCTAATCTATACCAGTTGAAGGAGCTTCAACTACAAGTATCTTCAACTAGAGTTTCGTGAAGTGGACGTGCAGCCTGAGTGAACTGCTCCACTTCCACATCTCGTCATTCCAAACCAAGCGTACCTTCCCAAACATAAAACCCCTCAATGAAACATCACCAAGCGAGGCTGAGATCTGTCAGCTTGACCTCGAAATGCACCGCCCAAAAGGGATTGGCTCCTTCCCGACAGAACCGGCCTGGGCGAGCTGCGCGAGGGGGATGGGTTCCATCTTCCGCTTCGTCTGGGCCTGGCCGGTGTCCACACTACCATCGACCCGCTGGTCCCCAGCCCCTTGGAGTCTGAGACAGTATGAAAGGAGATCAAAGGAGACAATATAATGGCTCCTGGCATCGCTACGAACAGAGCGTTCGGACGCGAACCGAACGGGGCTCCTGGCCTTACGACGAACGGAGCCAAGGGCCGAACGGAGCGACGCAGGGATCTGTTCGACTGGTCGACTGGATCTCGTCGCCGGATCTCGTCACCTTCTCGGACTTCTCGGGCAGCTTCGGCTTCTCAGAGGCTGAAGCCTTGAGCAGCCGAGGTTTGACACGAATTGGACCTGACCACTGAATGTCTCATCTATGTCAAAAGTCTTCAGAAACCACCTTTGGGATGTTTTGGGCATACAGAAGTGCATGTTGTTTGTTTGACTGTTGCATTTGAGGATGTTTCAGACTGGGAAGTATCGTAGGCTAGTAGGATGGGATCTTATCTTGCAATACTTGACAGGCCTTTGTACACACACATTGATCCAAAGCAGGTCCAAAGAGAGTTGGAACATCTGCCCGTCAGTTTCCCTTGAAGCTGGAGGCCTCGCCTTTTCTACTCTTCAAGTGTCAAAACTAAGTGCTGTAACAAAGCAATTATCCAATGGATTTACAAGTGGTGATGCCTGAATAAACAGTTGACAGTTGCACCAAATCCATTGTGTTTGAAGAAATTTCACATGGATTCACTGTTCGGTCGATCCACTTGAGCGTCACTTAGATCTGGCAGCAAACTCATCGCTGTAAAACCTCCTTTTCTGACTGTTTCCTGTGCATTGAGGCTGCTTGGAGACCATCCATGCTGATGAACAGGGTCGTGCACAAACGACCAGGTTTCTCTCAAAGGCCGCACATGGCACCTCGTAATGCAACAACGGCACATAAATATATAGTTGTTATCACATGTTAACGTGAGGATACATAAGGGAGGTATCAATGGCAATTGGATGCAATTGGCGCCCTTCTTGAATTTTCTCCGACACTCATATTTGGTGGTGCAAGGCATTGCCCATCAGCAGCACGAACCTCTCAGGCAAGCCATCGACAGCAGCATGACATTATCGCATTGTAGAGGTGAAACTTCAAGCCAAACTATGGTACGGAGCCGCAGATCTAAGTGGAATGGATGGAAGTTGAAAGCTCCATGCTTCGCGGAAGCCTGTTGGGAGGTGAGTGGAGCTGTGTTGCACCAGAATATTCCGGAGTCATAGTACGAATATCTCCTCCACTTACTTCAGTCTTCAACAAGGAAACGCTACCCAAACAACCTGGCAGTTCAACTCCCTATCCACATCCCACATGCTGCGACAATATGCCTCACAGCCCGCTGGTGAGGCCTGTCATGATCTGTGTCAAGTCCGACCATGCCAGTCCATCCTCAGACGCCTCCAGGCGTCTTCGTGCTTCGTCTACACGTATCCGAACCCTTCGAGTGCCACAAAGGTAGACACCCTGCTCCAAGCGACACAGAAGAGCTCGCCAGGCACGATATCGACTGTTCACAAGCTCGGCGACCGCTGCATCCACAGGATCATCCGGCTTGGCGCGATACTCCCAGCCTGACAAAGGATCCTCTGACAGAGACGTCTTAGGGAGTCGCTTCAAGGACGTGGGAGCTGGATTGATAGCTTGTGGCTCTGCGTTTTGAGGTGATAGGACCCCCTCACCAAACGAGGTTTCCGGATGTTCACGGCCAGCGGCGACTTTCTCGAGTTCGTTCATCTGTTGTCTGAGCCTCCGCATCTCACGAAGTAGCTCCTGGGACTGTCTTCCCGTGCTCTGGGCACCTTCCAGCTCATGTTCCCGTCGGACGGCCGCGCAATAAGACTCCGCCTGGGAAGCGGGTGAAGGGTTCGAAGGGCTCGGGAAGATCTCCATCCGACTCGGCGTCTCTCTGTCTCCATTCATCGGGTCATTCAACCCATGTCGAGCTTCCTCCAGTGGCGCCTCGCCCCAAGCATCAGCTCGCAGGGAGCGGATCTCTTGTTCCAAGACCTTCACACGCAGCATCGCTGTTGGTCCGAGCTTTCGGGGGTCTGACTATGTTGACAAAGTCTTCTCGTGTACTAGTCTAGTACTAGTTCACAAACACATGTCACCCCTTCTCCACTCACCCAGCTCTTAGAGTTGTATGTGTTTGAAGCATTGCATGCTTCACACGTTTCTTGCAGACTCGAGTCTCCAGCCTCCACATGTTCGGCTTTGCGCTGCAACTGCTCAGCCAAGGTGCTGCACCGGTCCTGTTGCTCGGTGACCAAAGCCTCCAAGTCCTCCATGCGCAAGCGCAAACGTTGAAGCTCACGGAGCACCTGCTGGTTGAGCTGGGCCTCCTGGGAGTTCAATCGATTTCGATCCGAAGTTGATTGAAGGGTGGGAAGCCACGACTGCTGGTTGCGGTGAATGAGCTCAGGAAAACACTTCGCAACGGTTCGCTAAGGGGTCTAATGATAGATTGTGTTCGTTTGTGTTCGTCTTTACACGGTGACGCACGAATCAACGAATTGCCACTGCTTCCTCCAGCTGGCTTCCTTGATAATATGGAGAGTTGCTGCCCAGTGACCTGCTTTGGGGCACTTGTTGCAGCTCCTCAATCTGTTGCTCACGCATTTGTAGCAAGCTGGCGAGGAACTCCAATTCCTTGTGCTTGGCCGCCATCATCAACGCGCATTCTTCATCCTTCGTTTCCAGAGCTGCCTGCAGACCTTCTTGTGGGGGCAGCTGCTTCTCTGAAGCCACCAAGCGGGCCTTCAAGTGAGCAATCTCTGCCTCCTTTTGCTCCAGCATCAACGAATGCCTTGGCTGATCATACACCAGTAAAACAGTTTGGGGACGTGAGTGAGTTTACGCATGTTTACGCTAACATTTAAGCTATATATCATATGAAATCGCTTAAACTTTGCCCCACGATGCTGTTGCTGTTGAAGGCTGAGCAGTTGCTCATGGCCCACCAGGCCACCCAGGCCCTCCACCATCTCCTCGCGGATCATCACAGCGGTTTCGTGAAACCCAGTGGAGCGATCAAGGCGGCCATGGTGGATGGGTCCAGGATTTGAAGAACTGATGCGACCCGCGGGTCTCAGCAGTCTGAGATACTCTGTGGTCAACTGCAACCAAACAGAGTTGCTGAACTAGTTGCTGAGCATTGCTGAGTACTCTGGTCCAAAACAATGTACTCTTTGTGCAAGAGTGATATCTTGCTGAATTAAAAATTGCAAGATGTTCCTCCCCAATAGTATTGTTGTGCTGTTACAAAGAAGTGTGCACATGGATGAAATAATGTGATACATTTTGGGCTTCAAAGGTCTTCACCTTGGACAAACGGACGAGAGAAACAACATACCACAAAGCAACCTTTATCAGGATTCCAGCTGGCTATCTTCAGAGGTTGAATTCTGGATGTGAAAATCCAACCTGCAACACATGTGTTCATTCTTCTCTGGTCGCCACTTCTGTCACTTCTGGGTCAACTGAGCTTCTGGCCTCGGACGCCACCTCAGACGCCTCATTGCGGTCGGCGAGGTCCGGCTAAAGCATGAGTTTTTCTGGAATGAGCAGAATGGCCGACCAAATGTGCGAGTGTTCAACCACCTTGATGGCTTTCTTGTTGAGGTCCTCCCCAAGATTTTCCACATGAACCCTTGCAACATTTGATGAGTCAAGTCCCTCTGTGGAACTGCACCAGATCTTTCCACACTTGAGACCACTCAGCACACACATATATAATAGTTAACATTCTACATATTTAAGGCAACCTTGCTGCTTAGCCGCGTTTAGCGGGCATATGTTCGCAACATGATATCCAACAATCCAAGCGAAACCCTGCAAAACTCCTCCACCCCTTCCAAACAACGAACCGTCGCTGCCCCACAGGGTCCCTCACTGCGACTTCCACGGGAGGCGCAGCAATCGCGGCCTCAACTCTGGTGAAGTAAATCTGCCAGTCTTAGGCTTCACAAATGTTGCAATCAATTGGAACTAGGTTGGAGGCCATCGCTAGTAGGTTGGAGGCCATCGCTGTTAGGTTGAAGGCCAGTGCTTGTAGGGTGGAGGCCATCGCTAGTAGATTGGAGGCCAGCGCTGTTAGGTTGAAGGCCAGTGCTTGTAGGTTGGAGGCCATCGCTAGTAGGTTGGAGGCCATCGCTGTTCGGTTGAAGGCCAGTGCTTGTAGGTTGGAGGCCATCGCTGGGAGGTTGGAGGCCATCGCTGTTAGGTTAAAGGCCAGTGCTTGGAGGCCATCGCTAGTAGGGTGGAGGCCAGCGCTATTAGGTTGGAGGCAATTGTAGGTTGGAGGCCATCGCTAGTAGGTTGGAGGCCAGCGCTTTTAGGTTGGAGGCCAGTGCTTGTAGGTTGGAGGCCATCTAGGGTGGAGGCCGTCGCTAGTAGGTTGGACGCCAGGGCTGGCTTGTAGGTTGGAGGCCATCACTAGTAGGTTGGATGCCATCGCTAGTTGGTTGGAGGCCAGTGCTTGTAGGTTGGAGGCCAGTGCTTGTAGGTTGGAGGCCACTACTAGTAGGTTGGACGACATCGCTAGTAGGTTGGAGGTCATCGCGATTAGGTTGGCGGCTGATTGGAGGCCATTGCTTCGCGCTTGGAGGCAAACTCTCGTAGGTTGGAGGCCAGCGCTATTAGGTTGGAGGCATCACTTGTAGGTTGGAGGCCATCCCTAGACCGGGCAATCACTTGCGCGCTGGGAATTTACTTCACTTGCGCACTGGACATCACTTGCGCGCTGGGCATCAATCAGTTGTGCACTGACCTGCTTCCTAGCTCCGGGGTGGGGCCTACCCCACATGAAACTAATGAGTGGGTTGGGGTGGGGGGTGGGGGGGTGGGGTGGGGTGGGGTGGGGGGGGTTGCAGTTGCCAACCATACAGTGTGACTTCGAAGTGCTGAATAGGTTGCCCGGTTGGACACGGTCAACTTCTCTACCCCCCCCACACACACACACACTTAGACAATTTGTTTGCAGTTAACTCAATTCCACGAGTAAAGGAATGGTTCAACGGCAAGGTGAAGCGTCCGAAAACTTAAAGGTGTTTGAACAAAAGTTAACGCGTGACTGCAGAACACTTATTGCTGAATACTTAGCAGACCTAGGCCCTAGGAAAGGAAAGAGTGAACCGACAGGTGAAAAGTCAGAGTACTTGAAGGTTTTTGAACAAAGTTGACGTGTGGCTGCCGAAAACTGGTTACTGATTACTTAGCAGACTGAATGAACGCCGTGCAAGCAAACCTGTTTTGGGGGATAGCGTGCATAACCACCATGGAAGCAAACCCGAGGAGTGAAAAAGCTTGGCCAAAAGTTTCAATTGCAGGTGCACACCAAGGCGTCCCTTGGTGCTTCCCCTGGATGTGACAGGCCTGGCCCCCCTGCATATAACAAGAACTCCTTGGGACGGAGTGTGACACACACACACACAGAGCGCCGATATCGGCGCTCGAGAGGAAAATTTACTAACCACCCAAAAAGCCTTAGAAAGAAAGAACCAGAAAAGACAGAAAGAGAAACGAAAAGGGCAAAAGAGAAAGATAGGTATAGTTACGAGGCCCACTAGTTGCGAAACCTTCTAGTTACTGACGACTTAGCCGCATGAATTAAATACACTAGTTAGCGAGCGGGACATTAGTCTTAAACCGCCCGGGTAGATAGGAGTAGGACAGGGGAAACAGAAGGAAAGGCACCGACGCACAAGTGTGTCGAGTACCATTTCCTTCTGTTACCCTAGATAGCGGGTGGGATAAAGGAGTGAATTCGGGTGCAAGGTGGGGGGGTGCGTGGATGTGTGTGTGTGTGACACACATATATATATATATGTGACCGTAAGCCCGGCGGCGTGGAACTTCCGTCAACTCGGCAGCATTGAATCAGGAAAATCATTGGGTGAAAAACATCAGGAAACCATAATCCACGAACTCAAGACGCTAAACCAATTTGCGATCCACGATGAACTCAGCGCCCCAGTGACGGGGATCACACTCTGCACCCAGTGGGACGACAGAGCGGCACACACTTAGACAATTGGTTTGCAGTTAACTCAATTCCACGAGTAAAGGAAATCGTTCAACGGCAAGGTGAAGCGTCCGAAAACTTGAAGGTGTTTGAACAAAAGTTAACGCGTGGCTGCAGAACACTAGTTACTGAATGCTTAGCAGACCTAGGACCTAGGAAAGGAAAGAGTAAACCGAAATGCGAAAAGTCAGAGTACTTGAAGGTTTTTGAGCAAAAGTTGACGCGTGGCTGCCGAAAACTAGTTACTGATTACTTAGCAGACTGAATGAACTCCGTGCAAGGAAACCTGTTTTGGGGGATAGCGTGCATAACTACCATGGAAGCAAGCCCGAGGAGTGAAAAAGCTTGGCCAAAAGTTTCAATTGCAGGTGCACACCAAGGCGTCCCTTGGTGCTTCCCGTGTCACATCCTAGCTTCGTTGGGCCAGGTTGGATGTGACAGGCCTGGCCCCCTGCATATAAAAAGAGCTCCTTGGGACGGAGTGTGACACACGCACACACGTTTTGATTGCCTTTCAAAGCACACTTCTGCCACGCAAACTCAAATGCTTCGGCGTGGGTGTGTTGTTTGTGTAGTGTACGCGTGCAACCAGGACTGGAAATCGTTTTATGTCTCTCCGTGTCTTTGGAGCCATGGATGCAAAAGAAGACGACCAATGAATCACTCACGGACACCCTGTCTTCCGACTTGCTTGCTTAAATGCGCCATAAATCTTCTGAAAATCGCAACACCAATACAAACAAAACCACAACAGTCAAGTGCGCAAGCGACTAAAATTTCACGGGTTGGAGGCATTACTTAAATTTACTTGTAGGTCGGAGGCCAGCGCTAGTAGGTTTGACGCAATCGCTGTTAGGTTGGAGGCCATCGCTTGTAGGTTAGGGGTCATCGCTAGTAGGTTGGAGGTCATCGCTATTAGGTTGGAGGCCATCGCTAGCGTCGCTAGTATTGGAGTGAGGCCAGCGCTCATAGGTTGGAGGCATTACTTGTAGGTTGGAGGCCAGCGCTACTAGGTTGGAGGCCATTGCTTGTAGGTTGGAATCACTTGCCACTCTCATCCTTTTGGCGTCGCTCTCCCGATGCCTCTCCCGAAACATCCAAAATCACTTTTCTGCCCTACAAAGGATCAAGTCCTCAGGGTTCAGAACAACTGAGCGCTTAACCCCAAACATCTATGGCTAATAAGGTATGAGTTATGTGTCTTTCATGTTGCGACCAATCCCCTGAACCACAGCTCCGACAACTCTGGAAGCAACCAATAGCAGCCAAACACTCCTAGAGCTTTCTACTGAAAAATCAACAGAACCAATGGATGTGGCCTGTCCAAACAAAGGTTTTTCCTCGATGTTCCTGTCGAGACATATCCTATGACACAAGTCCTTCTCGCCACTTACAGACCGCTCCGCCCCTCCGCCTCAAAAGATGGGAGCTCATCATCCTCCACAAGCATGGGCGCCTCAGGGGCAGCCTAAGAGTGACAGAATGTTGCGAGCGTGTTCCACGGTCCAACATAACGGTTTGAGAACTGTTCTCTATTGAACTGCTCCCTCTGTGCTGGTCGAACAAAGAACACGTGGTTTTCCAACGCAACTGCTTGAACCTTTTTGGGAGGTGCAAAAGATTATTCTCTTCCGATCTTCAAGGAACAACAGAAGGTAAGATCGCCTTCAACGGAAGAAACTAGCGCATGCAAACACCAGGAGTTTCTTGAGGAAACAAATGCTAGCCAGGTTCAAAATCAACCCCTCGCCATGTAAATACTAGCTGTGCTAGCTACAGTAGTCTGAGTGTTTGACTTGCTTAGATGGCTCGTCTGGTTGCTGTGCGGCCTCTGGCTGGGAAGCCGGCGCCTCCAGCTGCTGTCAAGATTGTG